CGCACGGCGGTCGCCGGCCGGTTCCTGGAGGCCCGGCTGGGCAAGCCCTCCCTGGTGAGGGAAACCTCCCGCATCTCGGTGCTGGAGGCGCTGAGGCACCCCATGCAGGTGAGGGGCCCGGGGCTCCCCAGGTTCTTTCTGCATCCACCCTCTGCCTGCTCCTGGTGCCGCCCTGTGGGGGTCTGTCTGCACCCGTGCTGGGGAGACCCTCCCGGTCCGCCTCAGCGTCCCCCGCGTGGGTCTGTGGGGACCCTGGGTACACTTGGGGCTCGATGTGCTCTGTGGGGACCCTGGGTGCACTTGGGGCTTCGTGTGCTTGTCCATTCTGTCATCAGAGAACCTGCCAGGAGGTGGCGTGGTGTCTTTCTGTCCTCCCGGGAGAGCCCGTGACTCGCTAGGTGTTGTCGCGCCCTGACACGCGAGTTTCCTCTTGAGAACTGTGGGCAAAGTCTCTGCTATCTCTTGGGGCGTGGGTGTTGAATAAGGGTTGACAACCTCCCAAATCACCAAAACCCGATGGCGCCGTGGTGCCGGCGGGTTGGGGTCCCAGGATTGGGTGTTGCGGCAGCTCTGGGCTTCTCCAGCCCAGCTCAGCTGCTGCTCAGGGCGGTCGCGTGTGGCCGTGCCGAGCCTCTGCTGCTGACCCAGTGTGCCCCGCAGGTAACGCAGCGGCTCCTCAGCAGGCGCCTCAGGACGCGTGTGAGGGCGTTGGTCCTCCTTAAGTAAGCGCAAGGTGGGCCTGCGGGGCAGGGCACTTGGGGAGGACGTCGGCGGGCTGAGCTGTGACTGTGTCCACTGGGTGTCCTCATGCTTTGCCGTAAGCTTTTGGCTCCTGTAGTTCGGTTTCCGTCCACAACCCAGCCTGAGGGTGGGGGTGACTGCAGCGGGGCGTCCCCTGAGCCCCCGCCTCTGCGTGTGGGAGTGTGTCCCCAGGCCCGTCTCCCCTTCCTGCAGCCCAAGCCTGGAGCGCGGAGTAAGGGACATCGCTATAGCACGAAGGAACAACCAAGAGAAGAACAAGACGTCTGTACAGGACCTTTGATGTACGGGACCCCCGGGCACTGGCAAAGACGCTGTTTGCAAGGTGAAGAGCACCCTGGCTGTCGGAGCTGGGCCACGTACAGACGGGGCCCCAGGGGCAGTCAGGCGGCGCTGGCGTGGGAGGGGGACCACCTCCCTCAGTCTCTCAGCGGGTGGGTGCGGCACGGCCTTGGCGAGGTGAGAAACATCTGCGCGTCCCACCCCCTTCCTGCCAGAAACTCGGGCCTCTGCACTCGGCATGGACTGACGCCATTATGACAGGCGGGGACGTGGCCCCCCATGTGGGCGGGGAAGGTGTGACCGCCTCACAGGTCGTTCGACTGGGCCAGCACCAGCGGAGGGTGGAGACGTCTCATCAACGCACACCCACCGACCGGCTGCCTGCTGGGCGGGTCCTGACGTTGTCTTCCTGGCAGCCTGTGTCCTCCACGGCACAGGCTTGGGGCCAGGTTTGTGCGAAGGTTCCGCACAGAAATTCACTGAGCGGTGGTAGCCCTGTGAGATCATGGGGCTGTTGATTGGCATGTTAATCAGCCAGAAGGGATGGCGGGGCCAGATGGTTTCGGAGGGGCCTTTTCAGCAGCCTAAGGAGCCCAGACCGGCTTTAGCGTGCACCCTGTGCGCTGGGCTTAGGAGGGCGGTCTCACGATGAGTGGTGCGCGCGCTCAGTGGAGGGTTAGGCGTGTGCACTTCTTTTTTACTAAACCTTCTGAAATTTGCAGACGGAATGTTCACTCCAATAAGACTCACCAGTGCCCGCAGACAGGGAGCTGGCTCAGGCTGGCTCTGTTGCTCCCGCCAAGGTTGCCAAGTTCCTTGTGGTTGGTGCTCTCTGCCTCTAAGCCTTTGACCTTTCACTTTCAAAACCCCCGTCCCCTGGTGTTGGCTGTGAGCAGCCTACAGCCCTCCACCTCCTGGGCCTGGGAGCATTTGGTGGAGCCTGTGGGATTGGCACACGCCTACCAGACCACGGCCCGCCCCGGGACATGCTGAACCCAGACACGGCTGCCGGAAGTGCTGGGGCCAGCGTGGCCTGGTCTTGATGTGTGGGGATTCATTGTTTTCTGTTTGGATCAGCGTGTGAGAGTTCTGGCGGGCAGCAGCACGCCTGTGCGGACGGATTCTCCCTGGGTCCGCCGTTTGCAGCCTGGCTTCTGATGCTTTCCAACATCGGCTTCCCGGGCCTTCACCCACGCCGCCCCGCCGGGCCACCCTCTCATTCACAAGCCTCCTGCTCTTCGTGGACGAAGCAGACGCCTCCTCAGCGGCGAGCTGACCGTGATGCTCCCTGTGCCAGGGCTGGGCGGGTGCGCTGGGGCCAGGCCGGGTCAGCGCTTGCTCGCAGGTTTGGCAGAAAACTGAGTCGCATTCTGTGGGCTTCCTAAAGTCGAGTTATTTTTCGGCTTTTGCTTTAAGAGCATGAAAGCCCTGCCTGTTGGTCCTCTCCCTGCAGAGGTACCCGCAGCAGCGGCTTTGGGACCTTCCGCTCGGCTCTGTCAAGGCTTACCCTCAGGCTTGCTGTCGTGGTTGACGCCGACTTTTCTCTCTGCAGGAAAGATAAGTGAGACCTCCGGCGACGCTGAACGCCTTCCTGGCAAGGACAGGCCAGCACAGCAGCAGTAAGGGCAGCCCCGCCCGGCAACCGCCTGTCTCATGCGGGAAACCGTAGGAGCCCGGACATTGCGGGGCAGGGCCAGGGTGTCTGTGTCTGAGAAGCGCTCAAGCCGCCGGGGAGCTGGGTAGGTCACTGAGACACGCCTCAGGAGCTGGGCAGAGCGTGGTCAGGCCCCACGTGCACCCCAGGGCCATCTCACGGCCTCTTGCACCCCCAGCTGGCCCACTCCTTTGGGCTCCCAGCGTCCTTTGTGCCTTGCAGCGGGAGGTTGGTCTTGAGCAGGGAGGACCCCTCGGTGCTGCAGGCTGAGCTCCCGTGGGAGGCGTGACGCCCTGGGGGCCTGAGCGGCACACACTTGCTATGTCGAAAAGTGCCTGTGTATTCGTGAGCCACGGCCCTCGCTCGGGACCTGCCCTGCTTTCTTCTGGCTGCACCCAGAGTGGATGCTCAGGGGCGGTCACCCTGTGGCCAGGCATGGGTCCTCCAGGGGGCCTCTTCTCGCCACCCGCCTTTGCGAGGGCCCGTTCCTGTCGCAGCGCCTCCACAAGGGAGGGGCACGGCCTGCGGTTTCACAATGTGGCGTCTCCGGAGATGCTTCTCTCGCGGGGGGTGGCTGCTGCCCACTCAAAGCCCTCCCCAGAAGGGAGGTCAGTTCCCTGCCAAGGCAGTGGTCGCCCTCTGCCCAAGCTGAGACCCACGACCCTGGCTCCTGGCATGGCCAGTGTCTGCCCGGGTGTGGTCCCGTGCCTCTCCTCACAGTCGAGCTTGGTGCCTCCTGCTCACAGTGCCCTGCTGGTTGGGGGAAAGTGAAATTGGCAAAACAGACTCAGGAAGCCGAGCCTACCACCACGGGATGACAGACGGAACCGCTGGAGGCTCGGCTTGTGGCCAGGTCTTCCTGGGGTTTCTTGGCTTAAAGTTGCGTTTAAAAAAAAAGATTCTAGAAAGTGTCCCTCGAGGTTTAAAACCCTCTTGTGTTTGCTGTGTCCGAGGTTCATGCTGGCTGCAGACCAGGCCCGAGCAGTTCGACTGGGGCCGTCAACGACCGCATCGCGAGATGGTCAGCTCGCTGCCGCAGCGGGAGGGCGGAGCGCCTGGTGAGATGATTTTTGACAAGGTATGTTCTTAAGCCGCCACGGAAGAAAGGCCAGTACAGTGTCGTCGGACCCCCAGCCCCACCGCCACGGGCCGTCCTTCCATCCAAGGCGCCGGTCTCCCTTCCCTGCGGTTCCTGGGCTCCCGTTGTGGTGCCCATGTTGCCCTTTGCTGTCCCTCCGGCCCCGCAAGGTGCTCCGTTCGGGAGGGCCTGCTGCCCTTTCTGTCCACCTGAGGGTGGTCCGGTCCGGTCTCCAGCTGGGGTGGTTCCATGGTCTGTCAATGCACAACGTTTTCAGAGCCTCCTGGTTAGGGCTTAAAGAAATTCCTGCGCCCGAGCCACACCCAGGCCCACCACGGCAAGCCGGTGGCGATGGCGACTCCCTTGGGTCCAGCCCGGAGGGAGACGCTTGGGCTTTAAGCCTTCCAGACTCCCGAAACGGGCCGGTGGTTGTAGAGGGCCCCTGGGTGGCGAGGCACGCGCCCCGTCAGACGGTCTGAGTCTGGAGAGCGATGCTGCTCTATTTCCGCCCTCCCCGGGACGCGTCCGCACCGCACTCCTCGTCTTTCTTGTGCGCCTGACCAGAATCCCTCCTGTTGCCAGCGATGCAGGAAAGCTGCTCTCTGTTAGAAAGATTGGGCTCACCCACTGTTCCCTTGCCTGTGGGTGCCTGCGCCACTCTTGGGCCTTGGTTCCTCTCCCATCTCCCTCTGGCCGCTCCCCCTCTTCCCGTCTACCCCAGACCTAAGACTGGCGTCGTTGACCTCCTCATGAAGGCTGCCTTGGCCTTCCGGTCAGCCTTCATTGCTGGCAGGGCGGGGTGTCTCTGTGTGGTCAGAGGCACCGTCAGTTGAGGCTGAACTGCTGTGTGCTGTGGCTCCATGTGGGAGGTCTCGGGGCTGAGTCCCCACTGACCAGCCACGACCCCAGGCTCCAGGAGGAAGAAGTGCCAGTGGGTCAGAAGGAGGGTGGGGTGTCGGCAGGTTTGGGCTCCCCACCCAGGCACAGGAGGCGCCCTGGGCGGCGTCGTCTGCCCCTGTGCACGTGGGAAGCCTGGCGACCTCTGCCCCAGCCCAGGCCCCACTTGGGAACTCCTCCTGCAGGCGTTTGAGCTGGGCCCAGTTTGACTACGGGAGGAAGTGCTCGGAGATCGCCCGGCTGACAGAGGGATGTCCGGCGCGAGATCGCCCAGCTCGCAGTGGCGTGGCAGGTGGTTGGTGCGGGCACCGTGTCTGCAGCCTCACTGCGATTGGAGACCCGGAGGACTTCTTGTACCTACTGTCTGTCTTGCCTTCACGTGGTGCAGTTCTTGGTTCGGTGGGGGGGTGCGTCTTCAGGGCTTAACCTCACGGCCCATCCTGTCCTGGTCCAAATTCAAGTGGAGTTCCTGGACCTCCGCGTGAACTCCCGGTCTCGCTGGTGCCAGGCTCTGCAGGCTGCGTGGGCGTGAAGGGAATGCTGACGGGCTGGTGTCCCTCCCTAGCCCTGAGGTCAAGTGCATTGCGTGCGGTCTCTGCTCCGTGTGTGAAAAAACTCTCAGGGTTTCCAGCTCTTAGGACCACGTCCCCAAGTGAGTCAGGCTTGGTGAGTGGAGTCGCCTCTCCTTGTGTTCTCCAGGGACCTGGGCAGGAGCAGCCGGCCATTTGCTTCCACGACACCCAGGTTCCTCTCTGTGTGGGCGGCCCAGGGCGGGGAGCACAAGCCCAGCGCAGCCACGCAGAAAGCTTCAGAAGTGTCAGCCTCGGGAGGGCTGGGTGAAGGAACCAAGGTGTCGGGGCGGTGCTGGTGCTCAGGCCTTGCTGCCGTGGGCTGTCGAGCGAGGGACAGCCCGCCGCTGTGCTTCAGCAGTGCTCCTTAGTGAGCGCAATCCTTTGTCCGAGTGCGTGGGCCGATGCTCGTCCTGAACGCGGCCCGGGCACCGCGTTCCATGCTGCGGTGCAGCCCATGCGCAGACTACCACCCTCGTGATTTCCTTCCGGCCTTACTGCTGGCTGCTGAGGGTGTCTCTGTGGTCACCACCTTTCTGATCCCCAAACTCTCTCTCCCAGGGTGCCTCCTGCCTGTCTGCCTGGTAGCCCCTTGGCAAGCCTGACCTTTCTGGGTGCTCCTGCTCCGTGAGCCTCCTGGGTGCCTGGATTCACTGGGCTCCCTGGCTTGGTGGCGGGGGTGGGGGTGGGGGGGTCATTGTGGTTTGGCCTGAGCCTGCTGCTTTGACCTTGCTGCTCTCTCCAAGCAAATTGGAGCTGTCCTCAGTGGCTCCTCCTCACAGCCTGACCACTTCCTCTGTCCCTCAAGGCAGCGCCCAATGCTGCCTCATCCTGGGATCTTCCTTGACCCTCCCTGGGCCTGTCCGTGGAAGCCAAGGCACACAGGCCTAGAGCTGTCTGTGCATCAGTCCCCTTGCCTTTACATCCCACAAGGGTGGATGCCTAAAAGAGCATCTTGCATGCAGCAGGTGCTTAATTAATGCTTTGGCATGCACATCTCCTAGCATAGGGTAATTTCAAGGTGTTGAATTACTTACTGTTCATTTTAAACTGAGAGCTTGAGATTTAGGGAGGTAACATGAGTACAGCCTGTGATTTCTCTCATTTCATTATTCCAAGAGTCAGTGGGGGGAGGGGACTATGAATGCTCCATTTTCAGGGGAGGAAACAGCCTCAGAGATTGAGATGGCTTGCCAAAGGTCACCTCTTGAGTAAACAGGGCAGCTTCGCTGGATTGTGACACCATGTTCCTGTTGACTGCTCTGGGATGAGAGAACAGCGAGCCATGGCACCCTTGCCCCTTCCCAGTCAGGGCAAGAGGTATTAGAGGGCACCCCAGGGTCTGTTCAGCCCTCAGCAGTTACACACGATGGGACCTGGTGTCTTTGAGCTGCCTCCTGCAGAGGTAGGTCCCTAGGTGATCTGCGCTTCTGGTCACTGGAGACCCAGGGTGTGTGGGGTTCCAGGAGGTTGGCTCCGAAGGTCCTTCCCAGGCTTTGATGCTGATGCCTGTCAGCCAAGTTCACTCCCAAGCACACGCCCCACAGACTGATCCAAACACCAAAGTGTCCTACTACATCTATCTAATGCACATGTGAAATATGCTTATGACGTGCTTATGTCTCGTGTCAGTTTACTTCCAAAAAAGGAAAAAAATCAGCCTGTAAACCCAGCACTCTGTCTGGGATGCTGAGGCGGGAGGATTGCTTGAAGCCAGGAGTTCGAGACCAGCCTGAGCAAGTGTGAGACCCCTTTTCTACAAAAAAGATCTCCCGTCCGCCAGCGTCCCCGCGTGGGTCTGTGGGGACCCTGGGTACACTTGGGGCTCGATGTGCTCTGTGGGGACCCTGGGTGCACTTGGGGCTTCGTGTGCTGTCATTCTGTCATCAGAGAAGCTGCCAGGAGTGGCGTGGTGTCTTCTGTCTCCCGGGAGAGCCCCGCTGCTCGCTAGTGTTGGCGCCGCCCTGACACGCGTGTTCTCCTCGAGACTGTGGCAGAGTCTCTGCTGATCTCTTGGGGTGGGTGGTTGCGAAAATAAGGGTTGACAACCCACAAATCACCCAAACCCAGCAGTGGGCGCCACGTGTGCCGGCGGGTCTGGGGTCCCAGGATTGGGGTGTTGCCGCAGCTCTGGGCTTCTACAGCCCAGCTCAGCTGCTGCCAGGGCGGTCGGCGTGTGGCCGTGCTGCGGCCTCTGCGCTGACCCAGTGGTGCCCCCGCAGGTCAGCAGGCGGCTCCTCAGCAGGCCTCAGGACGCGCTGGAGGGCGTGGTCCTCAGCGTAAGTAAGCGCAGGTGGGCTGCGGGCAGGCAACTT